GGAGCGCGCCGGCTCTTTCTACCTGACGGCTCTCGATGGACATTCCGATACGCCGGCTGTGCGATCGAGCTCTCGTGAGTGGAAGTATCCTGAGATGGCGATCAAACACGGGAGGACTGTGCGGCCTGAGAATGTCGTAACTGTCGCGGCGGGTGTGGCGAGAGAGAAGGAGGGGGAGAGGGAGTAGGGGAGAAGGAAGTGAAGGGGCGGGGGCTGGTGCGTGTAGTGGTTGTGGGGGGGGGGAGAAGAGTGTGGGAGAGGGAGAGGGAGAAGGAGAAGTACAAGGGCGGTATGGGTGGGGGGGAGATCCGGGGGGGGAAGAAAGAGAGGGAGCTAGCGGATGGGAGAAGTGGTAAATGCTGAAGGGGCGGTGGGTGTTTGGGGTGGAGATAGAAAGAGAGGGAAGGCGAGACGGGGCAAGCAAAGTGACAAGGGCGGTTTGGCCGGTCCAGGTGAGGGAGGATGGTGGGGAAAGAGAGGTAGAGGAGTGGAGAAGAAAAGGTTGTAAAGCTGGCAGTTAGGGGGTGGGGGAAGACAAGGGATGCTAGAGCGGAGTGTGTGTTGAAGAGGAGCAGAGAGGCAGATTCAGAGAAGATGGAGAGAGAGGAAGAGAGAGGGGGAGGAGAGTGGGATGCAGAGAAAGGGAGAGAGGGGGGAGAGATGGTGGGAATAAAGGGAGGGAGAGAGCATGTGTTAAAGAGGAGCAGAGAGGCAGATAGAGAAATGGAGAGAGAGGAGGAGAGAGGGCGGAGACAGAGAGAGGGTGGGGAGAGAGAGGGGCGAGGAATGAAGAACGAGGCAGAAGGGAGAGACGAGAAGACGTGAGAGAGTGAGAGAGAGAGAAAATCGTAGATGTGGTATGTTTCTGTTAGTCGTAGATGTGGTATGTTTCTGGTAGGCGTAGTCGTAGTCGTTGGTCGCAGTGGCATGCACACACGCTTGCACGCGCGTGTGTGCGTTTCCTTGTCGTTGAGAACGACGATTTGTTTGACTCTACATCATGTTATAGATTATCCGTTTTTGTTACACAAGTGTGGACCTATTAACATATTTAGAAAAAGTATTTTATATTAATGTACGTGCAGATGCAGATGGTACTTGTGCGTCACTCACCGTTGACTGCTAAGTGAATGTTCATCGGCCGTGATCATACGTTCTAACTAGTCGCGGGCGGGCTGACGGCGCGTGTGCATGGTAAAATCTGATCTACATACTTCACTTTGCTCGCAGCATCGCGCCACGATTTCCAGCCTATGCTAATGTAGATAAAAATGGCGCTCCGACGTCGGTCGCCATTGACTGCCAATAGAATTGTCTTCGGCCGTTCTCATACGTTCAAACTAGTCGCGGGCGGGCCAACGGCACGTGTGCATAGTAAAATCTGATCTACAAGAGGTATGCCTCAATTTCTGTTCGATGTTTATTCAGGCCTGCCGCCTATGGACGTCCTCTACTGTTGTTCAACACCTACATGCGTCACATTTCTCGCAGCATCGCGCAACGATTCCCAGCCTATGCTAATGTATATGAAAATGGCGCTCCGACGTCGGTCGCCGTTGACTGCCAAGAGAAATTTTTTCGGCCGTTCTCATACGTTCAAACTAGTCGCGGGCGGGCCGACGGCACGTGCGCATGGTAAAATCTTATCTACATGCTTCACCTTGCTTGTAGCATGGCGCCACGATTCCCAGCTATGCTAATGTATGGGCAAATGGCGCTGCGACGTCGTTCGCCGTTGACTGCCAAGATAATATTCTTCGACCGTTCTTATACGTTCAAACTAGTCGCGGGTGGGCCGACGCCACGTGTTTATGGTAAAATCTGATCTACATGCTTTACTTCGCTCGCAGCAAATCGTCACGATTCCCAGCAATGTTAATGCATGGGCAAATAGCGCTGCGACGTCGGTCGCCATTGACTGCCAAGACAATGTTCTTCGGCCGTTCTTATACGTTCAAACTGGAGCCAGGCAGGCTGACAGTACGTGTGCATGGTAAAATCTGATCTACATGCTTCACTTCGCTCGCAGCATCGCACCGAGATTCCCAGCTATGCTAATGGGAAGTTTGACAATAAATTTAATAAAATATATATAATTTGTTTCGCCTAATTATCATTGGCTAACTACAGGGGAAAATATGCGTGATGGCAGTGGAATTTCAGGCATATAGAAAGGGGAGTGTCTAATACAATAACTATACATGTATGTGTTGTATGGAAGTATAGTGGGTAAAAAACTTGTGAAATCTTTTATTACTCTAGAAATAGCCGAGTATATTTTTTTGAAGTTTGCAGTAAAATGGTGCTCTTTGATGCAATCGGAGCATGAAAACGAACTACCTATCATTCACCATAGGTGCATGTGCTCCCAATCACCATTTCCTATTTACCTTCTCTCTTCTTTTCTCTTTTCTTTTCTTCTCCCTCTCTCTCTCTCTCTCTCCTTTTCTCTTCACTTTTCTTCTCCCTCTCCCTCTCCCCTCCCTTTCTTCCCCCCGCCCGCGCGCACTCCTCCCGTGTTGATGCACATCCTCAAGGATACTTCCACTCGACGATGCTGATGCACAGCCGGCGTATCGGATGCTTCAGCGTCAGGTAGAAGAGCGCGCGCTCGGGCCGGTTCTGCGAGTTCGCATGTTGCCGCTGCAGCTTCTTCCTGTTCATCTTCGCGATGGCGATCGCGTCCTGCCAGGCGCTCATGCCGGCCGACAGCTTCTCCGTGCCGCCGGACGTCGACACGCCCGTCATCGAGCCGGCAGATGGCACTCCCGTCAGCGTCATCGTCCCGTCGCTGCTGGAGGCGGTCTGAGGTGCCGCTGGGCGGGCGGGCGCGTTCACGGCTGCCAGGGTACAACAAGCCATGGTTAGCGACAAAACGATTCGGTGTATACACATCACCAGGGGTTAATAATGACAAACTTTTCATTGACAATTTGTTGACAATGTCATTATTAACCCCTGATATCACGAAGAGTATGTAAACCCTTGAGGGTTTATAACGGTTTCCAATATGCTCTTGACATTGTATAGAGTCACAGATAATGGTTCGACAAAGACAGTGGCAAAGTTTCTTCACTGTATAGAGAGGATATTCTCACTCTGAATTGCTAAGACTGCGCCAGCATAAGTACTATAATCTACTGATTACTCCTACTCTGTACTCCTCAAACTGTTACATCTGCTTAAGGATTCGCTCATGTTACATTTATCTTGATCGCGGTAGTTCTAATGCAAGAAATCACTGACGCGCATACATATATATATATATATATATATTACCACTCTTACACACAGTCGCTCGCATTACAAGCATTCGGCCGTGTACTTTAACCATCGACGAAAAGACGTTTGGACAAACAAACAAACAAACGTGAAAGAATGCAAAGAAAACAAAAGTGAAGAAAACCAACTTCAACGAAATTGTTAGACGAATGAATAATTGTTTCAGCGCAGGTTTACTTGGAATACATATGATGCCTGTTAGAATAGAGTAGGATGACCTCAAGTGGCCACATTAATTTCAAGATAGAATAGAGCATGATAAATCTGATACCTAGCTATTTAAAATTGCATTCCCTTTTAAGCAGCGTTATTATTTTGGACTGATGAAGTGAAATGAAATGCATTTATAATATGCGTTCAACAGCTAAGTACCACGTAAGCTTAGAATATTATTTCCCATCAATTCAGTAAAAAAAAACGACGCAGCAATTAAGTACCTTTTTATTTTTACTACTCTATTGAAACAGAATAGCACTTTGCCATCTATAGCCAACATTACTTATAAAAGAAATGTCATCATGAGTTCACAACATGATCTGTTAGAAACCCATGATGAAATTTACAGCAACCTGGTGCCATTATCTATTAAAATGAGAAACTGGGGTAAAACAACAAAAGAAATGTAATGTAGGACGTTTAACCTTCCACACAATGGTGCGCAGCACAATACATCAATTGGTACATGTATACAAATTGTCTCCTAAACATACATGTAATAAATGAACTTCATGGTAATTTTTCATGAGGATTAGCTATGCATAATCATAGATATACATTTTATACCAGCTGAACATTACACATATATATTATATACAATACAAGAACATAAGAACAGTGCCTCGTGCTTCCCGGATGTCTCCATGGTTAAATAATACATGCTGATAAACGAATAGAAAATAAAATAACAGAACTTTGTAGAAAGGACAAATATCAACGTGCAACTGAATAACAAATCACCGACATGACACATGTGTCAGAGTGTGTTCATTTTCGGCAATTACTGTGAAAAGGAACACAAACGCACATAAACGCATAGAAAAGTGCTGAAAACAAGAAGGCGATTTGCAATTCCCCCAGTTATTTTTCGCACTATAGACATCACGAAAAGTGCAGTTCATCGTAGCATAATCGACTGTGCATTCATGAGATGAACTAGATCATTTCACTGATACCATGCGAAAGGGACAAGTGAATAACAGGTAGAAGCTAGGACAAATCCATGGGAAAATAAGCACGGCAAACTGCATTGAACAAAGCAATGCTCCCTTCTACACACGGTTGGGTACAAGAAGCAGAGAGCATCTCTCAATTCCAGCCAGATGTTGTAGGGGAAAAAACACACGAAATCACGACAGCAGTGGGAGCGAAAAAAATATGGGTGCCAAAGATTGTGCGCATAAAAAGTGCCGTGAATTTCGGGGAAGCGCTGCACACAAAATACCTGATCCGGCTAGGATGAACTGTGCTTTATCTAGGCTACGGACTGTCTTACAAAGTCTAGAGTGTAAAACTATGTACAGCACACATCATCCTCAGTTCTTATGGCTGTGGTTCTCCTCCTTGAACTGTGCAAGACGATCTATAGCAGAAGTAAAGCTTATTAATAACCCGCAAAATATTTCATCAACTTCGAAAATGGCTGAAGCCATGATGGAACAGTTGAATAGTAAACATCTTCATATGGAGTTGTTTGTTATATTGTACGAATCACACGCACATTTGAGAATGTGTAGAAAAAACAACAAAGTTCTATGTTTTTCTTTTTTGTTAAATAAATATGATTTACATTAAATTCTTGAATATTCGTTTAATGTTAGTTGACATGGGAAACGAGAGTAATCGTTGATGTTTCCTAATGCTGCATGTTAGTGTAGTTTTGTAGAATGCACAGTATTCTTGGTATGTAAACTCTGTCTGGATTTTTCCCGATACTCTGTTACAGCTTCCTACAATACAAGAGCCGCAGAGCGTCTGGGCTCATCTGAGGTCTGTTGCTACGATTATAAACGTAAAATTTCAGTCGTGCGTAGTACCACATTTGTTAGGCGCAGATATGCAGACACGCAGTTGCGTACACATCATTGTTAGGACACGCCCACTATCGCAAATGTATATGTATATGTATATGTATATGTATATGTATATGTATATGTATATGTATATGTATATGTATATGTATATGTATATGTATATATATATGTAATATTAATGTTAATGTTGATTATTGCGGCCATGGAGAGCTATAGAGTGCTCATTCTGGCCGTAGATGCCCATGAGCTCATTGTGCTCATATGCTCACCAGCGTATGATATGCAGTTAACATCATTTCGATACAATGCAAGGAATATTATTGAATAAGGTAGAGATAACATGCAGTTCATCGGTAGAGTCCTAGGGGCTTCTGTGTCGTTAACATCTAGATATATTACTCTCTTTCTATCGTGCTCTGATTCGCTTGGTCTCTCACTATCGTTACCCTTCTGCCCGTTAATTCCAACTCTCTCTGTGACAACCGGGCAGCTGTTTGTTTTCATGTGAACCACATCAAGACGCTTAGTAGTAGTTAAGTAGTAATGTAGCTTAGTAGTAGTGTTAGTTTAATAGTGATTGTGTGCGATTTCATTGTGACGCGGAGTATCTGATATAAGCTGTGGTTTAGCACGTCGTTGTGAGTGGGTTGCGCCAGGGATGCTGTTTGTCGCTTGAATGTTTAGAAGAGTCGTAGATGTGGTATGTTTCTGGTAGTCGTAGATGTGGTATATGTTCCGGATAATTGTAGATGTGGTATGTTTCTGTTAGTCGTAGATGTGGTATGTTTCTGTTAGTCGTAGATGTGGTATGTTCCTAACGGCGATCGTCACCATCTGCGTCGTAGAATGACGTCACACGGCAACCGTCGCCGCCTGCGTCGTAGCATGACGTCGCACGACAACCGTTACCATCTGCGTCGTAGCATGACGTCACACGACATCTGTCACCATCTCCGTCGTAGCATGACGTCACACGACAATCGTCCGTCAACGGCGTCACAGGAACGACCGTCGGACCTGTCCTATAACAGAAATGACGAAAAAGTTTTGTTTTTTCTCGCGGAATATAAAATCCTTCTTGCTCCGACGAATCACAGGGTGCTCGACGGCGCATGCGCACGATTCTGGCGACTTTATCACGTCTGATTGATGCTGTCCACACGAGTTGTATCGTTTTAGTATCACTATGGTAATTACTGTCGGCCGGACGCTCGCGCGCATGCACTCCAACGACGATATATAATCGGCAGGAGAGCCGCTGAATTGGTGATTAATATTTTCATCGTCCAATCTCATGTCGAAGCCATTATTGGAAATTGAAGGCGCGCTCCAACGTGCGCTCGGTGCCCTGTGCTGTCTGTGTGAGTGTGTGTATGTATATGACCAGCCTGACTGGGTGCAGCCACTGACCAACATGCCAATGTGCGCAGCGTATAAAACCCACATTGCATGCTTTCAAATTAACAAAGCTATACGTGTATATCTATGTGTATATGTATAATATTATGTATATGTATATGTACATGTATATGTTTATGTAAATGTATATGAATACGTATATGTACATGTATATGTTTATGTAAATGTATATGAATACGTATATGTATACGTATACGTATGCGTATGCGTATGCGTATGCGTATGCGTATGCGTATGCGTATGCGTATGCGTACGCGTACGCGT